ATTTGATTCTCGAGCTGCTCATCTTTTAATTACTCCTCATACTCAAGCGCATCGACATGTGAGTTCTCAATTTAAATTTCTCGAGTGTATTTTATGATAGTTATGTTGAGATAAGGCGAGTTTTAGGTTGATCCATCTGAAATGGATCAAAGTTCCACTGTCCAATAAAAAGTAACTAAGCGGATTGTTCCAACCCGGTTTTTAACGGCGTTCATGTATTTTGGGTATCTAGAGACCTAAGTATGGGGACGTTCCTAATTCTAGAGTGGGGGGATATTTTAGTAGTAGCCTTTAAGCTGTAACGGGTCGTAGTCTCATGTCACAAACGAACCGAATTGGCTCCGATCGATTTGAGGTAGAAAAACACAAGAGATAGTGTCCCTGACTCTTGAGCCAATGGTTATAGGGCCTATTTTTCTTAAGCCTCATGTGTGACTGCAGTAGACGAATGTTACACAACTCGTACAAAAATTCAATTTTGTTTTTGATTTACCCCATAAGAGGTAATTACCCCAAAAAGTAGTTATTTATCTCTCTCTCTCTCTCGTTCTTTCGAGGCAAAATAATGTAACATCAGCGAAGAATCAAAGATCAACTAAGAGCAAAGACAAACTAAACCTTTTTTTTCTTTTTGTTGAGGGAAAGTCGCTGTTTTTGCGAAGCATTGTTTTAAAAACGATTCATGCAAGATATCCATCAATAAAGCTAATTTTACAGAACGAAAAAGTTGTTTCATCGATTCCATCAACGTTTTCAGAAGCTTGCATAACGGGACAAAGGCGGTTAAGTTTGAAAAAACAATCGTTCTTGCGCTTGATGTTGATGCTGGTGTAACAATTTTCATTTTTGGACAAAAAATTGAATCTATTATATATTTGAATGCGAGTTTCACTATCTCGCCATGTTTAACTTTTTTCAACGTACTAATTTTGCATATTTAACTAACGATTTTGTTTTAGATATAAGCTATATCGTATATTGCAATAGTTAAGAGATTTCTTTTCAATTTTCCAGTTTGATTTCAGTGTTTATTCCACCAAATTTGAAATTAGCAAACCAATAGTTGGATGCTGTCAGGTTTTCCTCAGGTGGTACGAAGTTTACGAGATACGAAGCTTAATTTTTTGATGGTGTTAAAAGTTTACAGCCAACTCAAATTCAGGAAAAATGTTATAATGTCAAATTCCTAGCCCTGAAGTTGGGTACTCTCAGGGGTTGCAAATTTTGCCTCTAATTTTGACCTTACGAATCCTTGTAGTTTTCGAGATATGAGGTTTCTTATGACTTCTTAAAAAAATTTGAAGATATAAAAAACGTCACACATTTTAAAATTCTTATCTATACTGAGGAACTGTCGAGGTTATTTCAGTAGTCCGGAACTGACTTCTTTTGAATGACTTTAAAATTGTTCAGAAAACTAGGATTTATTAAATTTCACCGAAATTGAAATTCCCAACCTTGTAGTTAGGAGTTGTCGGGCTACTCTCAGCGCTTTCGATTTTTTGCCTCCAAATTTGGCTGCTCAAAATAGTTAGTTTCCGAGACAACGTTTTTCGACATGAAAAAAGTTCAAAATTTAATTTAAAAAACTTAACAAAGTTTGAAATTCTCAACATTATGGAAGTGTGCTGTCAATGTGTTCGCAGCAAAATTTTATATAGACTCAAAATATGACTGATCAACGCTTTTCACTCTCCTTCAAAGGACGTTTTTATGATTTTTCAAAAGTGTTAGATGCCATAGAAAAAATACCTTTGCGAAGTTTGAAGTTGTCGAGGCACGCTGGGTGAACTCAAGTTACTGCCAGCGGTTGTAGATCTGGCGTCCATCCTAATATTATTGCTCAAATAGTTTAAATTTTCAAAATTAAAGTTTTTCTTCGATATTCCCAAATTTTTTCATTAAACTAAGAAAAATGTCGCTGCATAGATGTATTGATGGCGTCAAATGATATACGTTCGGGCTAATGAAAAGAAAGAACTAAGTTAAACCAGAATCTCATTTATGTTAAATCTGGACAGTCCAGTTGTATGCTAACGGCAGTTTTAGGGTGTTATTTCTGAGTTGAAAATATGAAGATCTGAAACCAATCCAGTAGTTTTGAAGATTTGACCATTGTAGTTTCATAAGAACCTTAGTTGAAACTTTAAGCTTTTTTGAGAGTGTAAGGAAACGAAAGTTTCCTTGTTCGGATATTGTCGAAACTTAAATTAGTTTGGCAAATGTCATAAATATTTTATGATGTCTGAGAATTAACAACCTGAGAAAAATATTTGAAAATTATGCAAAGGCCATGACAGGCGGGAAAAGTTTCGCTTTAATATAACAGATGCAAATATTCGTACTCTGCAAAAACCAATAAATACTGAGGTCAAAGATAGGAACTGGTTAACGAAGTAAGAAAATAAAAGTTGAAAACTCATCTCAATCGTGCTGGGCAGATCTTAGTGACGACAGAGAAAACAGCAAGAGTAAAAAAAAGACAATTGAGTTTCAAATTTAAAAAAATCTTATTGGACAGAAATTGTCGAGCATCCGCAAAAATCATTTTAAAACACCAAATTAAACGTGAAAATACGTTTAAATCACAGTTCAGTGAAAAAAAAACAGGAAATTTGACATCAAATTGAACGGTTTGGGAATTTTTCTGTTTTGGGTTGCAAAGTTCCAAGTTACTTTAAAAAACAAGAATTTATTGGACCGATATCAACGGAAAGTTAAAAAAACTATCTGAAAAGCCGAAATCTGATTGAACTAACATAAGACAAAGTGTAGTTGGAGGGACTGAAAACGTTATTTCAAGCTGAAATCAGTAAATAGGAATTAGAAAATTTCAAACTAGAGGAATGATATTTATGATAGTTATTTAGGGTGGGCGTTAAGTGTGGCAGCGGCAAGTTCAGTCTTCGAGATGTGTTTACCGAAGGCATTTACCTGTTCGAACGACTTCCAAAGCTTTATAACCCACTTTGAGCTATTGGCCGACCTAAAATATTGGAAAGTTACTATGGAAAAGAAACTGGAGTTCAGCCGCATAATTTCGCGTTAAGATTGCAGAAATCTGCGATCAAAATTCTCCTTACTCTTACAGAGGCTACTAGAAATAGTTGTCGAGATTGTTTAATTTTTTCGAATGCGTTATAATAAAAAACCAATAGTCTTCCGGGACGTCTAGCAAGTCGCGTGCAGCAAGCAAGCGAAAAGTTGAGATTTTCTGGGGAGTTTGCAGCAGGTGGCGCTGAAGACTCACGGGATCTTTGTGCTGCGAGGTTTCATCGGAAGAATCCACTACAGTCAAGTTAGACGTGAGCTCCGCAAGCTAATTGGGGTTAAAGACATGAACATTGCGTATGTCTTAGAGCGGGCATTTCAACTGGAAGCGATCATTTGAATTGGAGAAGAACAAGCTCCGCGAATAGCAGCTATTACAGAGGGATGAGACAGAAAATCTGATAAACTCGTTGAACAGACTTATTCAACAAATGTCGGTTAGTAGTGAAAATAATACCCGGAATAGTAACGATTGAAGAGACAGCAGTCACTTTTGAAGAGCGCGACCAGGTTCAAGAGGCAACAAGGTTCAAGCATAAAAGCTTTTAATAGTATTAAAATACTACCGGATAGGCTACTAATTATGCGTTGAAAATAAGTGTAGCACTATTGTAGCTTTTTCATGTCTCGTTTCTGCCTGTCTTTTCGAGGAGCAACGAGAAAGTGTTCAGTTCGCACTTTTTAGTTGCCGCGATAAAATGTGTCTCAGCGTGTTTTTTTATCGCGAGTCTTTTAACCTTCACGTTTTGTTTCGTCGATTGTCATTTCGGACGTATCGCTCATACTAATCAAACCCAAACACCAACCATCCTGCTCGATTGGCACAGTTTGAACTGTCGAAAATTAGTTCTATATTTTTTTGGCTCAGTTTGACCAATCATCAGGACTGGAATAGAATAATTTTAGTACAACTGGGACTAATTTTTCTTTTTGGTACAAATGGGACTTCACCCAGTAGTCCTTTTTATAGCTAACGCTGCGCTTCTTATCTATTTGTTGTTTTAACGTTTTATGTTAACTCAAATGGTGCTTTTTTATTCTCTGATTTTATGTGGTTTTTAATTGTTAACGATGTTTGTTTTTTCTTTCAGTTGTTCTGATGATGTCTTACTTGACGAAAACGTTCAAGCGTTGATAGTTGTTTTTTTTTCTCGTCACCTAGTAGTACCCTCAATTACGCTATTGGTGCTTAACTAGAGATATTGAAATTGTAAAAACAAGCTTTGATTATGATTATTTACAAGATTTAATTTTTTCGACTAATTCAGTTAATATTTTTTGAATGTTTTTGCAGCTTCCCGAGCAATTGGATTGAATTGATTTTTCCACTTCAATAATCATACATTTGTGAATATTCCGTGCATTAAAATGTGCTATATTGAATGAATTTGCAACTCGTAGAATTTCGATCAAATATGTGTTGATAGCAGTGTCGTCTTCCTCAAACTGGCTGAGAAATAAATTAAGAGCTTTCAGCTGAATAAGTTGTATTTGCTCTGAATTTTGAAATCGTTCGGTATTTAGTAAATAGTGTAATGTTTGCTGGGCATCTTGAAGTCTCCCGCTTTTGAGTTGTATGCGAATTAAACCGAGCCTCATGTCAGCGATAACATATTGATGACTGGAGTTGGGGTTCAACAAAATTATTTTCTCTGTCTCGTCGTACATTCGGTTTGCGTCATCGTACAGGTTATTCTTAATTATAAAAAAAGTACCAGTTATAAAAAATGAAGATTAAATTTGCTCCCGTATACAAGGGGTTATCTAGCAAAAGATGATTGAGTTTCACGGGGCGGGTCAGAAATTTCGATCTAAACCTATTATTTTTTCCATGGTAAGTGTTAAGATTAAAGTTTAGCGAGAGAAATTATTATATTTTGACACCGCAAAAAAGCTTGTCATTTAATTTTGTTTGCCCTTAAATATGTATTTTTCGAGACAAATTAGTCCTATATCGATGTAAGGAGTGTAATTATAATTACCATCATAGCCTGATCCTCTGTTAACATTGCTAGTTCTGAAAGCGTATGTGCCAATAATTTGTACTGATTCATCCGCATGGTTGCGCTGCCACCGAACTGCGAGTTAGCAATCGCTTCTTCCAGTAACGTTTTGCTCTGATTTAATGAATCCATAGTTTTGCATGAAGCGAGAATTGATGCAGCGGTTGCCTGTAAACTGAATGAAATCATCAGTTGGTCTTCCAGTCGTCTGGAATAATATAACGCACTTTTCAACAGCGATTGTGATTTGTTCTTCTTTAGAAGTTTTGGGTCACTTGTCATGCTGTAGATTAGACCTTTCTCGATAAACACTTGAATCAAATGGCGCTTGATGCCATCGTAATTGTCCGATTTTTCGAGCAACTTTTCGAGCTCGTCCAGATCGTCGAGCGCTGTTTTGAAATTTCTTTGACATATTTTTACTTTGATGATTTCAACGGCGCATTCGTTTTTGCCGCAGACAATATTAAGTGAAATGAACAATGATCTTGATTTCTCGAAACTGTCCTTAGCAGTTTCTAGAAGCTCTGTCGAGGAATTTGGGCCATCTTTTATGCAGAGTTTGCCCAGGTGTAGAAAGGCACGAGCTTTACATTCACTTATTTCGTGATTTTCAAAATGTATTGTTTCTGATATAATCTCTTTGCATCTTGGAATATTTTCAGCAAGCAGGCTGACATGGAATGCGAATAAGATTTTCTTCCATTCAGGAACACTACGCGATACTGTCTGGCCAGCATGGTAGAAATACTTGATATAGTTTGTCTGGTCTGGAATAAGTGCAACCAATAATGCAGGCTCCTGTGCTGGTAGCACAGAAGGTGAAGACCACAGTCATTTTTCAAAAAAAAAATTTCTCAATTTTTTTATTTTGCTCTTGTGCGGAGAAAGACAAAAACTAAGCTTAGAAAAATTAGGTTTCAGTTGACTACATTTATCTTAGCAAAATCATAGGCTAGTTTTTTCGGTAAAAATTTTGCGTTTTTTTTTTTACAGTTATGAGTTTTTTACCCTTGCGATAAGTTTTACCCTTGCGAGAAAGACTGTTTTTTTTCTCGTAAATAACTTTGTTCATAGGACTCATCTCCTTGGCTCATTCATCTACTAGGCTGTTCTATTGCAACAGAAATGTTTTGAGCGTGTTAGCATTTTAAATATCTGGCTTAATCAAAATCGCTGTTTTGCTTGGTTGTAGTTTTACCAACGCGATTTGGTAATTTTCCGGCTTAATAGGTCTCGGCTTAGCTGATATCGACTTAGTGTGCTCCTAATGCGTCGTTTGAGGACCGAAAAATTTTGTGTGTGTGTGTTTCGAGGGAAAAGGACCTAAATTTTTTGGCATAGAATTTTTTTATCGGCACGAAGGGATTCTGCTCAGGTATTTTCGGCTTTGTTACCGCTTGGTAATTATAAGGGCAAATTTGATCAACCAGCCGACGCATCTAGTGTAGTGGTAATACAAGTGCTCGAGAAGGCAAATGCTTATGGGTCAAATCGGGCCGGAACCTTTTTTTGCAAAATTTTTTGTATTGTTTTTTTTTCGGACTATCGTTCGTCTTTTTTTGTCGGCTTAGCTCCCGTAGCCAGACGTTTTTTTAAAAAGTTTAGCGTTCTTCCAAGTTGATGTTTCTGTAAAAACCATATTTGACACTGCAAAGCACAGGAGTTTGATTCCAGTCGAGACCTGTTTTTTTGCAAACTGAAAATTTTCTGCTAATTTAGATTATTGTCTGTCTGTGTATTTTTGTCGGCTTAGTTCCGCACAAAAGACTTGTTTGAAAATCCATTTTTTCCAGTTTTCCGAAATCTCCGTGTAAAGTTGGTGCAGGCAACTTTGCTCGGGATATTTTGGGTTTTTGTTGCAGTTTTATAATTTCATTGACAAAAACTATTCAAGTTTTTTCATTTTTTGTTCGATTTGAGTCATAGTCATTCCTTTTTGTATCGCAATTGGTGCGAAGCTCAGCTTTGTACCTGTGTTTAAATTAATTAAATGTTGTTTGCTTTAACATTTTCTCAACATTACGATCCAATCAAAATTGAAAGGAATTCAGTATGAGCCACCACCTGTTACCATCTGACATTCATTTGTGGTACCTGGTTTTCAAAAAAACTGAAACACCCGAAGACGAAGGGCCCTCATTACTTCAGTGGTCTGAGCAACAAAAAATAGCTTGTTAAAATGTAGGAATCAGACCAAAATATTTTGAGGTCATTTATGGAACTCACTTTCAAATTGGGCAATCATTTGATGTAAATCGGATTTCCACTGAATTGAATTTTCTTGGGCCAAAAGGAAATTTTGCATGAAGAATGTTTCTCTTCCTCTGAAATTTATTGGAATAATTGATTTTTCAAAGAAAACTGTCTTTAAAAAAAATGTAATAATCTTACCTGTTAACTTCAGTTATCTTGATTCCTTTTCGCACAGACTCAAACAGAAGCCTCTGCCTGTGCTCAAGAAACCTCCGATCTGTGTTTTCTGAAAGCAAATTTATTTTTTTTAAATCAGAGTTACAGTTCTTATGGAAACTTCTCAGCTGAAAATGAGCATGTTTATCTTAGCGTTGTTATGTTTTATGGTGCAACTCTAATAACTCTGTTTTTGCCTTCACTTATTTACCTAGGGTTCCCTCGGGTTACTGCCAGTTGGGCTGTACTGCCCAAACAGTAACCCTGATGCAGTTTATTAGTTCATTAATGTTCTCTAAACTGTATCTAAATTCAAATTCAAAATTATATTGAGGCAAATATGTTGTATATTTTTCTAGGCAAAACGCTAATTTGAGTCCGACTATAATAATATAGTCGTATGGAATTTAGGTATGTTTTAAATTGGGGCAGATGAAAGAATTGTTTTGCGTTTTGAGTTAAACCCTACTGAACTTAGCGACTGGGCACGTATTTGTGTCGCATGTTTTAAAGTTTTGTCGTTAATTTTTTTTCCAAATGCAGAGCTCCAGTTGTACGTAAAAATGGTGTTAAAATTCATTTTTAGTGGAAATTGGGTTTGCTCTTTTAGCACAAGAACTTCAGCGAACCCAGAAAACTTTCAAAAAGTAATTTGAAAAAATGTTTGCGAGCTTTGTTTTCATCAGCTTTGTTATTGTTTTTTTATTTGTCACAAATGGTCGATTGAAGTCGGCGCTGATTCTATTTCTAATGCTTTGTGTACGTAATGTTAATTTAGCCAGCTCATTTTCTTAGTTGGCTATTGATTTCTTAAGTTTTTCGGTGGCAGCTCTTCAAAGTTATAGCAATTTAGTTCTATTTTCTCTTGCAACGTCCTAGGTTTGAATCTGGCCAGGTCCTGTTTTTTAATGGAAAAAGTCCGTGCAAGAAAAATTTGTCATTCTATTTTTTTTCTGCTTATGTTTTGTGGTTTTCATTGTAATTGACAGTGTTTTTGATTTAATCCTGTAAATTCACAAAATCTGATGTGTTTTTTTTTTTCAGTTAAAGTTTATTTGGCATCAACTATTTCGTTTTATGTTTTAATTATGCCTCTGTAATACAAATTCAAATGCATTCGACGCAGTGGTAAAAGTCATACTTCAGACGTCAAAGCCCTGGAGTTCGATGCCTGTTGGACCTGTTTTATGTAAACTTGAAATTTTCGGCTATTTTAGAATATGGTCTGTCTACTTATTTTTGTCGACTTTTTTAGGCAAAAAGGAATTTTTTGTTTTTGAAGGCTGGCTTTTTTCTAGCAGTTTTTTATTGTGCCGGTATTTTTCAGGATCTTTTCGGTTTTTGCAATTTATATAAAACGATTTTTTGAAGTTTTTTTTAAGTTTTGACTTGTCTTTTGATTTTAATCATGATCATTCATTTTTGTATAGCAACAGGTGCGAAGCTCAGTTTCGCCTCTTTCGACTGTTCACAGACAATTCACTCAGATTTCACTGACGTCTTAAGATTTCAGCATGCAAAATCATGATTGCGTGTAGTGCACTTGCCTCCTGGTGTTTCTTGCTCAACGATCCATTTTTAGCACCATGGATCCCTTAATGGGATGCCTTAACTTTTTTGAAAGGTTTTCGCTTTTGAGTTAATTTTTGTCGACTTTTTTTCCATTTTTTGAAGCCGATTTTTACCGTATATGTCAATTCTCTGTATATAGGGCTGCACGCTAGATCAATTATCTGATTTAAACATTTTCAACAAAGTTGTCGTTTTTTGGTTCCGACCATTGAAAATGGGGAGGAACTTCGTATTCAGGTGTATCGTAGTTTTTTGTTTTCCACGGAGGTACCACAAAAATTATCGGAATGGGCCGAGTCTCGAGTGATATATAATTTTGAAGCCTTGCAAAAAAAATTGTCTCCGTGTCGAGAAAATTTGGTTTGAAATTTTTGAGATTTATATTTTTGAGCGAGTAACGCAATCGAGTAACGTTTGTTTTCTACTTCTTAGACTTCTAGGCTCACAAAACTTGATTTTACTTTAAAAATAGCTAGTTTTGGATGTTTCATTCAGCGCTTATTTGCATTAATTGTTTTTTATTTTTTCCATTTTGTTTGGTATTCATTTTTTGAAGAAAAATGTTGTCGATCTTGCCTAACTCACTAACTTTCTGTGCGTTTGTATAGGTTTGGAATCACGCCGTGCTCTAAAAACGTTACGAATTCGAAGAAAAAATGAAAAAACTTTTTTCTAGTTTTTTTAATGAATATGGTCGGAACACTCTGTGCTACTAGCAAAGCAACCGGCTGTCGTTGGTTTTTTTTTGCATTTTCTTGTGGAGCTCAAATCCTATTGCTTGTATTTGTTTTTGTTTCATTTTTCATGCATAACAGGTAGTGAGAATCTCTGCTTCGCGCCGTTTTTTTTTTTTTTTTTTTTCATTTGCCCCCGGCCTGCTCAGTGCAGGACCAACCGTGGGGGAGGGGGAGATGTCATCCATTTTGCCGCAGCCGGTCCCACCTTGAGGAGGCGGATGACACTGGGACCCCTCCAGCCGTGACCGAAGCGGGATTCGAACGCATGACCCTCGTGTTAAGAGAGATGTGCCTAACCCACTTCTCTCTTAACACGAGGGTAACCGTTAGCTGCTTTCTTCGAAGCGAAAATGAGCCAGGCTCTTACCTGAATTGAGACAATCAACCTCGTGGAACATCCAATGCACTAATTTTTCTGTCTTGGTGTGCTGTAATAGGGGACCCAACGTAAACTCATCTTGGGACCCGTCATAGCCAATCACAACCAAGTCCTCGTTTTGTAAAATGTGCTGCATTAGTGATTTCTTCTGAGAATGAATACCAGTTTCGATGCTAGACAAGTACCTTTTGATGCTGTCATATCTGGCGTGGGGGAATAGAGTTTCCTCGTCTATGCATCCATGAAGTCTAATGATGCAACCTTGGGGCAATGTAGGCGATGTTTCAGATTGTGCGTGGGCTCTAAACTGTTCAATTTTGTGTAGAACTAGAGGTTTCTTTCCGAAAAGGCTCTTGTGCGCTCGTTCAATCAGGTTGTCGAATTGAGTTGAAATAACCTGAAGAAATATATAATAATAATATATATTTATAATTATAGCACCAAGAACGTTATATGTTTAAAACAAAATAAAGTAAAGCTTACCGTGTGACCATTTTGTACCGCCTTTGCTAGAAAATTGTGAATATTGTTGCAGTGACCCTTTAGGTAAACATCCAATGAATCCAGAACTTCATCGCCTAACAATTTCCACGCACTATTGAGCAGCTTAGACTGAGCCGACGATACATTTTTTACAAACTCGTCTCTGTCAGAAACAGATAAAAGTTCGTTGTCTGGTCCAAGGATGGAGTTAATAAGGTACATATTAAACTGAGAAGGCGAAGGCAACCCGGAGTTTGAGTTAATCTGAGATCCAATGATAATCGCACATGGATCCACGTTGGAAGTTTCATCGGCTAGACTTCTCAGAAAATCTGAACTAGTTTGCGGAAAGTTAACTGGCTCATCCTCCATATGCTCAAAATTACTTCCCATTTCTGTGGTATCTTCACTCATTTTGCGATCAGATCTCTACCGATCTAACCGAATTAAGAAAATAAACAAGTGAGCTACTGTGACAGTAGTAGTGCTTTACTCGGTGTTATTTGTCCATTTTGTTTTGAAGACGTTTGCTCTGTCAACTAAGATCGCGCTACGGATTATGAAATGCGCATATTCGTGACCTGTTTTAGTTTTTGTCAATTGACATATGGTCACATCAGACCAAAATTAGTTTTGATTAATGATGAATAGCTCAAATAACATGTTTACTTTCTTGATAGCACTTTCACGACTTTCTTAAATTTGTTTGCTGACACAGCGCAGTAGTGCTTGAAAAACAAGTTTCGCTACAACCTACAATGATCCTATATGATCAACTATTGGTTATGTTCGTTGCGGGCAGTCATAGCCAATCACAAACAGTTGAGCACCCCTTCCTCCCCATGGTTCCTCCAGAACTGGTTAGAACGATCGAACCTGTCAGCGCTCCAAAGGTCCGCCCTTTGTTACTTTTTTATGTCATCCTCTTTGCCCGATCAACCCTTAAAATATTTTAAATGCGCCTGGGATGAACCGTTTCAGCCTAGTTATTCAATAAATTGCCTGCAGCGGAAAAATGCGAAAAGGTTAAGAAATTTGTAGAAGCATTTACTGAGTACGTTTTGAGGCACCTCGGAAAATGAATTTGTTCGACAAAATGTTTTTGAAAAACCCTTTTGCAAAAATGTTAGATCTGTGCAAGTTGTAGGGCTAAATATTTATTTCTAATTACAATTTGAAGAAACCAAGATCCATAAAGGCTATATTGAATTTTTTTTTTCGCCATGATGTATGTACATGTTTCCATCAGTATCATAAATTCGTTTTTAGTGTTGAGGTTCTTTACGTTTCATTCGATCATTTTCAGAGTAATTGTGAGGTAGCACTATGCCGGGGGGAGGAAAGAGTGAGAGCATGCGCGTGATAGTGCGTGTGCGCCCGGAGAACTCGCGAGAGTGCAAGACATCCGCCGACTCAAATGACGTCCCGCTCATCAGTGTGTTGGACGAACAGGTCAGACACAGCCTCGAACCTCATTATGCTTTAATTTATCGCCTTCATAACCTTAAACTACTTTGAAGAACAGTTCTGAAATAAGTTTTTTTTCTGTGTTTTGATACCTTTTCCATAAATCAGACAATAATGAGCTGTGTTTATGTGTTCCCTGCATTTGTAAGGCAGAAAATTACGTCAAATGGAAGCACTTGGCACCTCATAACTTTTGACGGGAAAATATCTATGACTTAAGTTGTTTTTGATACAAATGTAAGTTCTTTTGATGAATGGAAGTCATTAATAACTAAACATTGATCAAAACGTGGTTTTTGACCGAAATTTGGAAGATAAGGATTTTAATACATGATGTACGTTGTTAGGTACTGGTGTTTGACCCGAAGGTGGAGAATGCACCAACCTTCTTTCACGGACAGAAAGTCAAATTCAGAGACATGACCAAGAAGAAGGCCAAAGACTTCAAGTGTGTGTTCGACTCAGTTCTCAACCAGTGAGTGTTCCTGTAAAATAGATATTTTCAACCTACATTCTGTCTGGAATTTTGATAGCGATAAAGCACTCTCACGGTGACCCAAGTAGCGATAGCTATTTTAACGTGGCCAATCGAAATTATGTCACACCTATTTTTTCAGATCTCAAAGATTTTCTAATAACTTTTTCCCATACCAAAACAAAATCTGCCTGGTAAGCTTAGAAAGAGGTTTGACATAGAGGCTGCTGTTTTTAGGTTCAGCACCCAGCAAGAGCTGTTCGAGGCTAGCTCCTTGGATGTAGTGAAGTCAGTTGTAGAAGGGTACAATGGGTCAGTGTTCGCTTATGGTGCCACAGGCGCAGGCAAGACACACACCATGCTCGGATCAGTGGATCAACCAGGTCAGTAGATGGCATTTACTGGGCGAAAAAAAGTTGTAGCCAATTAAGTGGTAAGATCTGAAATTTAAAAAAAACATGTGGACTAAAATGGATTTTCATACAGACTTAGAAGGCGTTGCTTGACTTTCTTGGAATAGGCGCGTGAAGAGGTCCGACCTACCCTTCTCCCCTAAGCACGCCCCTTTCCTGATAGTTAACCTTGAATAGTTCTATCACCGGCTGCGAAATTGATACTTAGATAAGAAAATATGGCTTGGGAGGAGGCATTGAGATATTAATTTGCGCAAAACTGAATTTTTTCAACATATAACTTGCTTCAAAAAATTCAAATGTAATGAAATGAATTTTGCGAAAAGTGTAACTTTACTAGGGGCCCAGCTGAAAGCTGGAGAGACCTGTTTGATTATTTTAATTTTGATTATTTTAAAATTTCAGGTTTCTCAAGTCGATAGCGCCCTTCCTACGCAAAAAAAGTGAAAGAGAAGCTTATGCATTCAGCTGGATCCAGGACTCGCTGTTTCGCTCGTTGCAAATTTGTAGATCGTGCAGCTGGATCCAGGAGACGCTGTTTCGCTCGTTGCAAATTTGCAGATCGTGCAGCTGGATCCAGGACTCGCTGTTTCGCTCGTTGCAAATTTGCAGATCGTGCAGCTGGATCCAGGACTCGCTGTTTCGCGCGTTGCAAATTTGCAGATCGTGCAGCTGGCTCCAAGACTCGCTGTTTCGCTCGTTGCAAATTTGCAGATCGCGCAGCTGGCTCCAAGACTCGCTGTTTTGCTCGCTGCAAATTTGAAGCTCTTCTTACTGGATTCAAAAGTCGTTGTTTACATCTATCCGTACTTATTAACAATTTTCTGGATCCAAGAGTCGCTGTCTTGCTCGATTCAAATTCGTTGCACGAGCTCTCGGTTCCAGCAGTCGTTTCTTGGTTCTTTGCAAATTTGCTAATCGCTTCGCTGGGTCTAAAACACGATTTTTGGATCTCAATAGATTGTTTCTTCGAATAATGGGATCTTGCAATCGTGTAGTGACATTACAAAGATTTCGCAATCTGTTGCTTTTAGAAAGTAACAACCGAGTTTTAGTCTGCTGAAGATTTCTAAGTTGGTTGTGACTTTTCGCTCGATATCTCTGATTTCGTTGCTTGCGTCTTTCTTTTCTAACTTCATGTTGTGATAATGAAGGTGTTGTAATGGGACAAAATGGTTGCATTTCATGAAACACAGTTTCCACTTTCGATTTCGAAGCTCGAAAAATGGTAGATGCGAAATCGAACTCAAAAACACGTCTGCAACATTTTTCCCTATTTGATGTTGAAAGATTGCAATCCGTTGTTTTCTGTTCTATAATTGATGACAAAGGGAGGTCATCATCTTCACTAACGAGATTGTGAAGTTCTCCCTCCGGAAATTTCCGTAACTTGGCAAGAGGTAAATCATCATCAGAATCACAAACTGAACCTAGTGTAACAAAAGAAGGTCCTGAAGAATTACTGTTATTTGTGACTGTGATGATCGGCTCATAATGATCATGTTTATGAATGATATAGATGTTGGCCACTCTTGTTTGATTAAGAGGAGGTGAAAACAGCAACCATGAAGACGTGACGTATGAATACACATTAACAGCAACAGCGGAAATGAAAGAGAATACCATTATTTCCAAGCATGTACCGAACACTCCCAATTGCCTCATTTTTGTGAACTGTAAATACTCTTGCACAGAATTGAAGTTTCGTCCCGAAGGTAAAATCAAATGATCTTCAATTCCAGGAACAGACGGCATAACGTCACACAAAAACGATCTCAATTGGGGAGCACTACTACAACTTCCAGAAACAGCCGCACACAATGATGAAAATAAGCAATTTCTGTCAGGTGGCACACGAAACAGTTCATCAGGTAAACTCAAGAGTACGTTTCGAGGAGACTGCTCGTAAAGGTATTTGCAAAATGGTATTCCCAGCACATCACAGACTTCTTTGCAAAAACACGCAGTTAAAGGATGAAACAATGTCTTTCTGGGGGGAATTGAATACAAAGACGGCGGAGCGTCAGGGGCGGTAGATAAGGCATTGGAGCTCACTGAGTGATTCTTGCAAAATCGTGAGTCCTTTGTAACAAACAAGTTGCAACCTTTCTCTACACACTTCTTTGCATTCTTTGTTTTTGGCATCGAATAAATCTGAAATCGCAAACAATACAACAGTGAAAAACTTCCACAGCTATACAAAGCTTTATTATGCATATATATACAACAACAAAAGAAAATAATAAATACAAAATAATTTTTTGATCAATATTAGGAATCTTCGCTATCCGTATGATCTGCAAATAAATTGTCGACACTTTCTTGCAACGTCTCAGCAGCGCAACTTTCTACTACCACGTTGTCAAGAAGATCGTCTTCGAACAACTGTGCTAGTGAATGAGCTTCTTCAGACTAAAAAAACTTTAGGTACAAACGCCGTGAATAACATTTAACTGATTCATTTTCAATCCAAATTTATCACTCCATGGCAATTGTTCATAACAGCACATAACACTTACTTCTGCTTTAATTTGCATCAACTTTTTTTTGTTAGGAGTAGAATCAAAACTAAATTGACGCCCAAGAGTTGATGATCTCAAAACTTTGCTTGGGGTTGCTTCTCCTGCTGGTGGCAATACTGCTGGTCGTGGTCGGGATACTGATCTTAACCGTTTTGTAACGGCGTTGAAGGCACTTTTCGTACATCTAAAGTGTCCATTTACAGTATCCATTTTTCAGGGATCGACTCCAGCACAGCTTGCACACGAATCCTGACGTTTGTGTCGTCTTCTTCACACAGAGCTTCTTCTAACCTGCTCTGGATAGACGAGAATACATTGTCAACAACTTTTTGAGTGTTGTCAATTTCTTTCTGAGCCATTTTTCTGAAAGTGTGACAAGATATGGAATAAGACTATTTAGATTTGCTGTAAACCCACTATGTAATGCAAATAAACCGAGCCTATCACATTGCGACAAGACAACCGTAATATGAATTAAACGGGCCTTTCACAGAGCGACAAGGCAAACCGTACTGAAATTAAACGAGCCTTTCACAGTGGACAAGGCAACCGTAATGTGAATTAAACGGGCCTTTCACAGTGCGACAAGGCAAACCGTATCAATCATGGTTACATGCTAAATATATTTAAAAAAAAAATTTGCACAATGCTTCAACAATGTGAATAATTATTCACTAGAATTAAGTGAAATGTGTGTTTCACAAACCAGCTAACATTAATGAAATAAAGTATTTTTCATTTTTCTAACGACTCTTTAATTTTCGAATTAATTAAATGTTGTCCAAGCATTGCAAATATGACTATAATATGTTGACTATAACTGACATCACAAAAACGTTCTGGAACAAACCGACCTGATTAAAGAGAACTAGCGTAACTCGTGCAACTTCTCGTTGGACTTCTTCGAACCATACAAAAAAACTCAACACAAAGCCAATAGCACCAAGCAAAAGCGAGAAAACGTAAGCATAGCGGATTCCATTGTCTAAAAAATACACACAATAAGTATATTGAATCTTTGTTCCAATGCCAAAAAACTTAAAAAAAAAACTTTTCCGGAGTGTACAGCTCTTCCCCGAGACAAATTAAGGACCAGCCGCTTGGGCAGGGGAGTTTCCTACAACCTGGTCTATCGATTAAACCCTTAATCCCAAATCTGGATGGGTAGTTTTTGAAGAAATCGAAACAGTTTGAAAAAATGGCCTAAAAACCGAAAAATTGACTATTCCTAAGTGTATAGCTCTTCCCCTAGACAAATTAGGGACGAGCCGTTTGTGTAGGGGGGGGTTCCTACAACCTGGTCTATCGATTAAACCCTTAATCCCAAATCTGGACGGGTAGTTTTTGAGGAAATCGGAAAGATTTGAAAAAAAGTCAAAAAAGTGACTTTTCCTAAGTCTATAGCTCTTCCCCTAGGCAAGTTAAGGACCAGCCGCTTGTGCGGGGGAGTTTCCTACAACCTGGTCTATCGATTAAACCCTTAATTCCAAATCTGGATGGGTAGTTTTTGAGGAAATCGATAATTTCCGAAAAAATAGGCAAAAAGTGAAAAAAGTACCGAGTTGTGAAGCTTTTCTAAGACCGTAGGGGGTGGGGTAGGGTAAAAATTGCCCTAAATTTCATGCAGGCAGGTAGGTGAAACGCTACTGAATCCATTGGTACCACTTTTATGAGAATCTGACGGGTAGTTTTTTGGGAAAGCGAATTTTTCGAAAAAGCGTCTCAAAAAAAAAAACCAGATCTCATCTGGAAAAAAAAAACGTTTTCATAATACCTGTTTAATAAATCAAACAGGAATTTTTTCTCTGTGAATAATTAGTCATGTTCTCGTGTCGTTTCCCGTTAACTTTGAACAAACTGCGCTCTTTTACTAGGTGTAATATACCAGACGATGGTTGAGCTATTCCGTCTGATGGAGGAGAGAGAGGAAACCGTGTTTGAGCTGGGAGTGTCCTACATGGAGATATACAATGAAACCATCAGAGACTTGTTCGCCTCGGCCACTGGTAGACCCCTGCCTCTCAGAGAAGACGAGCAGGGCTCAGTCACCATAGCAGGACTCACCTACCACTCGCCCAAGTCTGTCAGGGAACTGTATGACATGCTATTGACAGGTAAGTGCATTCCATCAGTCTCACGCTAGATTAAGATTAGCGGAATAAATTTTTTCCTTTCAACTCTTTGGTCAAGCTCAGTATTTGAATGAAAGATAATAAAGTTTGAAGTAAAGGCAAGTTAGCACGAAGTCACAAAGTCCTTAAACGAAAAAGTCACAAAAGTGGCTTGGAACTTTTGACTATATTTAAAAATTAGATAAATCTTTTGATGTTTGCGGCATGAAAGTGATTTTATTTTTTTTATATCCTAGGCAACCAGAACAGGACACAGCACCCCACAGATGCGAATGCACAGTCCTCGAGAAGTCACGCAATTTTCCAGGTGTACCTGCGACAGAGACCAGTCAACTCTGGTACCACCACGCGCTTCTCCCTCTCCAAACTGTCCCTGATTGATCTGGCGGGTTCGGAAAGGGCAGCTGCGACCACCAACAGAGGTAGGCAGAGAAAACTCAAAGTATCAATTTAGTTGTCGGGGTTTGCTGAATAAGCGATGGAAATTCAAGCACGCTGGATTAGTTCTAGTCGTCTAAAGATACATTCAATTGAAGACATAAAACATATATACGATAAACACAAGTGACAAAAGTGATGCATTCATTTATTAAAATCATCGTGTGAGGGTCTGGGACTCACTGATAATTTAAGGGTATTGATTTGAAATAGAGGTATCTGTTTAAGCAAACCGCATGCGTGAGGGAGCAAATATAAACCGGAGTTTGCTGGCACTGGGCAACTGCATCAACGCTTTGGCGGAGAACAAGAAGAATATGCACATCCCCTGGAGGAACAGTCAGCTCACCCGTATCCTCAAAGACTGTCTGGGCACCAATTGCAAGACGTGCATGATAGCAGCTGTATCTCCCTCTAGACTCACCTTCGAAGGTTAGAGCCAGAACTCTACAGTTTCAAAAACAATCATAGCAACAATAAAAAAATCATTGCTTATTGTTTTTATATGATCCATTTTTGTTGATATTAACAAACGCATTCGGCGCTAAACACATTTTAAGCAATACTTCTACAGTCAGGGGTTAGAAATTGCTACGTTTAGTTTTCAAGAGAAAGAATGAATGAAAATTTTTTCACGTTTGTACCGTTTTCTGTGCCGCTAACAAAGATTCACGGTTGAAAATTTGACATATGATGGATGAAACTCTTTTTCTGGAGAATAGCCGGATAAAAGCTGTAAGAAAATGTTTTGAAGGCGCCGTTTGGCCCCTTATTAGAGGGCGACTGAGAAATGTTCTTAGTACCAAAAACTATCCGTAAACAGCACAAGCTGTTTGAAATTTTGGACCTTAAAGTATTCGTTGTAAATCTAAGGATCACAGCTAGGCCCTCATATTCGTTTTTCCTGACTTGAAAAGGAATACAAAAAACTACTCAGCTACGAAACAAAAAGTAACTCCGATTTAGTGCATTGCCGACTAGCAAAATTCAAAATTTAAAACTCTTTTTATGTGAAACATAACCTGCAAGAGGGCCTAGTCGAGATCCTTAGCTTTCCAACGAATATTTTCAGGTCCAAAATTTCAGACCACTTGCTGTTTACGGGGAATTTTCGGCACTAAGAAGAATTCTCTGTCGCCCTCAAGTTAAGTGGCCAAACGGTGCCTTCGAAACATTTTCTTTCGGTTTTTATCCGGCTATTGTCCAGAAAAAGAGTTTCATCCATCATATGTCAAAACTTCAAGCGTGAATCTTAAATAGTGGTAAAAAAATAGAACAAACATGAAAACATTTTCGTTCATTTTCTTGCTTGAAAGCTAAGAGATGCAACTTCGATGTCCCAACGAATCTAATAGTTGTCATTATCATGCACATATTCCAGAAAAATTTAGTCCTACGAACGAGTTCAAAATATTTAACTAAGAATTTTGACTTTTGCTCTTGGTAAGGAACTTCGTCGTCATGTGATTTTAATTTTCTTCTTACAATTTCACGGAAAGCCAGATGCCTCAAATATTCATAGCAATGATTTGAGTGATATACTTTAAAAACCTTTCAATTGAGATTAGATCGAGGTTTGAAAAATTGCAAAACTTTTTCTCAGTGAAAAAAAACGGTTTTGAAACTTTTGCTTAAGAGCGAGTCAAAAGAACGAGTACATTAGGCTCAGTGTTTCAAGCTCCGAGAAAAGTCTCAAATTAGTTGTGCATTTTGCATTTTTGTTGTGCATTTTTTCTTTGCATTTTGTTCTTTGTGCAAGTTCTTTGAAGCCATTTTTGTTCCTCTCCCCATGACACGCACAAAAAACTGAATAAATTGAATAAGTCGGAAAAAAAACATCTGGGGGTGGCCTGGATAGTTTAATCTTGTCGAGATATTTTAAGTTGCATCAATGTATTCTAGATACGTTCAATACCCTAAAGTATGCATTGCGGGCAAAGAGTATTAAGTCGCAGTTGAAGAAGGAGACGGTGAACATCACAGAACACGTGGGCAAGTACCAGAATATCATCGAGACATTAAAGAAGGAGAACGAGAGACTCAACTCACAGATTAACACCCTCAGAGAGGAACTGAAGAGTGCAGAGGAGAAGGTATGTTGCGTATTTTAGCTCTTCACCCCGCGGTTTTGAACCTTAACGGCGATTTTAGCTTAGAGTCACGCAATTTCATATAGGTTTAAACACGACCAAGCCTTGTAAGCCAGTCAAGAAAATCTGCTTGATTTTAGCGCTCGAAGCTTGAAAGGTAGTCGAATTATTTTAAGGGTCAGACAAAAAATACGGAGTTTCGTATAAAGGTTGTTCGAAAAGTTTTGTCTAGATATGAAAAAAAAACTTTTTTGTGATGTTTTTCCAGTTTTCTTGTCAAGCATGATGTGTGTTAAGAGTATTTATTACGAACAAGGTCTTTCCCACTTTTTAGGCCAGTGTACTGGATGCGAGTGAACAAAATGATTCAAGTGGGGAACCCAAAAAGAGGCTGTCTACAGTGAGTGGTGGTGCGGTGAGTAGCAGACGGGGATCCAGAAGCATAACAAACATAGAAGCCAGACTGTCAGTCAAGGAGATCCTGAGCAAGATCAAATCTACCCACACGCAGAGAGCACAGCTGAGGAAAAGTATGTTGCAGATAGAAAGTGAAGAGAAGCAGCACAAAATGTCTCTTCATTTTGTGGACCAGATGAAGAAATTGGTGTCTGTGTTCTCGTCAGAGGACGACGAACAAGAGAGACGACTGATCAGTCTACAGAATGAAGACGAAGTGATCAAAGAGAAGATGCTACTGTTGACTGCGAAGAAAAGCAATCTCACACAGAAGGTACTGGCCTTCTGACTGTTTTAAAGCGTCTCAAATTGCTATAGCTATCGAAAAAATGTACAGAATAAGTGTTTGATAACAGAATAAGTGTTTGTCTGGTTAACTTTTTCTTCATAGCATTTTATTCCTAAATTGGTGGCTGTTTCCTGTTTGATAAAAACAGGTATTATAAAAATGTTTGATCATTTTTTGAGACGCTTATTAGACCCATAGATGAGGGTTTCAATCAAAAGAGGATCTCCATTGTATAAACTGGTACGCCCTTATTTTGGTAGAAAAAGTTTTTTGTCCGAGAAAATATCCAAATGTTGACTGTTGTTTGGAAACTTTCTCCTTTACTCAAAAACTACTCTGCCATCTGAGGTTTAAAAGTTTAATCGAAAGAATAGATTATGTGAATTTTTCTGCACAACTTCACTCACAATTTGGGAAAACTTGCTCGTTTTTTGTTAACTTCATGACTTTTCTCTAAATCTACCCTGGCAAATCTGAGATGAAAGCTTGTGTATACGAAGTGCAGTTTCCACTCTGTGTTTATTTCACCATAGCCGAAGACATTTTTTTCAAGGCGTAGTGTGGAGCATCCTTCAGCTTAACAACGATTGAGTGTTTTTGTGAATCTTTTTTCGAAATTGCTTCTTGTTTATTTTTTGCCAACTACCATCAAAACCTCTAATAGTGCGTAGCTAAAACTTTTTTGTTCACTCTGAATACTACCAAGAGAGTGCAGAATCAAATTAAGAGTTTTCCAAACATGCTTGTTAGTCGAATTTGATATTTGCTCTTTCTTGCGATGGTTTTTTGATCAACTAATCGCTCTTTTAGATGGCAAAAGTGGAAGAAGAGTACAGTTGTGTGTGGGGAGAGGTGGCCACTTGGGAACTGAGTGAAGAGGCGGAGTATCTGCGGAAGGAGTTACTTGTGCTGGAACAGATGATCAAGATCAACGACCTCCTGCACCAGAACCAACACCTCAAAAGTCTCTCAGAGAAACAGCAGGACCACATCTCACAGCAGAGCCACAAACTTTTACCCATTGCTCAGTTTCTAAGAAGCATTCTTTTTGGTTAGTTGATGGCACAAAGGCTTTTATTCATACATGTTTTAGCCCTCAATATTAGAAACCTGGATATTTAGGAATGCTTTGTTTTTGATTTTAAGGCAGTAATACGTTTTGAATTATAATAAGCTCATAAAACGTGAAAAACTTTTTTTAAAGAAAATATTCGATCGATGTTTTTTTCTTTATTTTTTTTTGTTTTTGCATACTAACCGATGGGAACACTTAGTGCTACTTGTGCAGCAACCAGCTATCCTTGTTTAGCAGTGGATTTCGGTTGACTAAAAATTTTGAAGTATTTCAAATTAATTCAAGTTGGTCTCGTTATAGTATTACCGCGTCATCTGGTAATGGGTAAAGGGATAGGATGAGTCTTTCCGTTCTTTCGCGCACTCTGAAATTGAGTTTTTAATTTTTTTTTCAGAAGTTGAGGCAGCTGATTCTCTGCCTTCTACTCAGCAATGGCTACATAATTTCACCAACCTACAGAGGTCAGTGATGGACAATGTAGAAGTTACACCACTAATGGCATCTTGCTTCAACACCAAGGCAGAAGTCGTAGCGAACTCAGCAAATGAGATAAACGGAGACAACTTTGAACAGCTGCTTGACTTCACCATTATGAAACCCATCAGTCCAAAGACACCTGGCATTACAAAGAATATGGGCGGCAAGACACCATTCACGGGGGAGAAGATTGTATGGCAACAGAATAACAGGCCCAAACCGAAAGTGGTTCCCATACCGGCTAGCAAGGGTGACAAGACATTGACTGCGCCGCCGCCGGCGACTTTGACCAAAAAGAGGAAGTCAGTCACGCCAAGAAGCAGCAAAGTCAAACAAGTAAAATAACTTTCTTTTTAATTGGCAACACATTGGTTTTTGAATTGACGTTGGTATTTTCTGTTTCTTCTTCTTTCATTTTATATCCTCTGTTAACTTTGGTGTGTTGGAACTTAAATAGAAAAATAGAACTGGTAAATTGTGTCTAAAAAGCTTATCAGAAATTCTATTTTCATAACTTAACTTGTGGTTATTCTTGTTAAGTTGATCTGGAGTAAGTCTCAGAACTCAAGGACTGTGGCAGCCAAACAACCCAAGTTCCTCGTCAGCACCCTACAGAGTGGAGGGGCAAGTAGCGGTAAAAAGAAGACGACAGGAGTGGGGCCAAGCAGCGATTCGGGGAGCAAATCCAGTGGCGGGTTCTTTTCAAGAGCTAAAAATAAGCAAAGTGTCTCCTCTTCCGCAACTCCAGCTACAGTTAAGGTCAAAATACAATTGAAATGGCTTGATAAACAAGGTGTAGAGTGGGTTTAATTCTTACCATTACCCGTATGATGGAACAAAAAGTGTCAATTAGAAAAGTTATGTTGAGTTAAAGTAGCTGGTTTATATCATGAATAATTTTGACAATTAGACTGAAAACTGTTTCAGACGACATTTGCAATCACTGATTTGAATGGCCGAAAAAGAAAGCAGACCATTGACGGTGTCTCTGCTGTGTCCAAAATGCTGTCCACAGACACTCAGCAGAGATCAGCATCAGGCAGCAGCAGTCGAACTAGCAACTCAAGCTCCTCATTGTCCGTTAATTCGGGACCCAAACAGTTCAAGAAAAGCATCTCCAGTTCCATAATGCCTAGCAGAGTCTCAAGTCTGTCTAAAGAGGCCGTAGCTAACACGAGTAAAACGTCTCGCTCCTGGAGCAGACGGAGATCCAAGACACCCTCGCCGGTATCAAGGAGAGTCTCGACTAATTTTAAACCCATAGTGAGACGTGAGACGTTTGTGAAGCCAGATTTGGGGAAAATTTTCGAGGAGCAAAGGGCTCTGTCAAAGGCCGAAAATGAAATTAACCGACGTTGTACAGTAGCAGCTTCAGGCTCTATGATGACAACCAGGTCCTCAAATTCTAGTCGGATGTCAAGACTCACTACGAAGGAAGCATTCAGACCGATTCCTCCTAAGAAGTCAATCTCTAATTTGATAGGCAAAGGCGATGAGTTTTCGTTATCAAGTATGGGCAATGCAAGTGGGAACTCTGTAATATCAAATCCAGAATTGACTATTTTTGGTACGAAGACGTTCAACAAATTAGTGGACGAAAACACAGACCCGTTTAGTTTTGCAAGTAGTGTCAGTCACCAAAGCAACTCCTCCTTGAATTTTGAAAATGAAGCAGATAATACAGTCAATGAAGTTCGAAACTCGAAGTTTTTGGACATCGAAGACACGTTTCAAAGATTGTCAAAAAAGAAAAAACAGGAAGACGAGGAATCATCTTTTTCATTTAATACTCCAGATGGTAAAAACGACACTTTTGTCAGATTACGAGACGATAATATTCACGATGAGTCTGTTTTCGACAGTGGCTCAAAATTTGTGCAGAATTTAGAACAAAGTAATGAATCGCATGACAGTTTCAGAAGAAACACGGTGAATAGTTACAGCTCCTACAACATGGAGGAAACAGTTTTGAATGCTATTAGCAGATATAGGAGAACTACTCTCATGCAAAATAATCAAGAACAGAACAAGTAAAAGTAAAAAACTGAATTGAAGTAAAACATTTCAAAGTGACGCTTAAAAAATTGTTTATAGGTTTGTCCAATGACTTTTTATGATTGTCTAAGTTTTGACCGAGTGTTTTTGTTGATTTAAATTTGACTACATTGTTTTTTGTGCTAATTAATTCAGTCTTTAGTTTGATAAAGGCTTTGTGAGGTTCTACTGTAATCGTCATCATTAGATCTTCTTAGTTTTCTCATAAAAATAACATTTGTGTAAAGGCAATGAATTCAATCTTTTTAGGAACTTTTCAAAGGTACCTATGTTAATCAAGCAGCAATTTTACAATTTATACCGATTAAATGACATTTTCCCGCTGAAACTGGATTTGAAACGTATTAGCAATGCGGTTTTCGGTTTTGGTATGGTTTGCAGTTCATTAATTTTATTGTATCGTTTTTAGATATATTAGAAAAGTTTAAATATTGAAAACGAATAAGTTTTTAAACAATTGTAGGAGTCTAAATTAAAACAGCCTTCAGCTGTGTTGGCTTATGCATGAAAATGTACGGATAATTTGAGTGAGCATTTTTTTTCCATATGTTGAGCATGTTTTCATTTCATTTAACCGTTCTGTTCAATAATTCTCTTTTTAGTTGGTTTCAAGTTCACCAACTCCGGTTCGGGTTTAATTCGTTTTTTTTTGATTTTTTTCGTTTACTCGGCTTAATTTTTTCCGGCTCATACTTAACCGGTTTAGTGGCATGATATTGCATCGCTCAATGAGCGAAACAAGTTTCTTATGCGTGTGAGTCTTTTTAGGGTTTAATTTATAATTTTTGAAAGTTTTTTTGGCTCATTGGTTGTGTGCTCACAAACTTTCGGCATTGTTACCGCTTTGCTTCGATGCAAGTGTAACTTTCAATTGTCTTATTTTCATGTTTATTATTGAGTTATATTCAAAACAAAGAGATGAAAACTTTGATAGGTCTAGCTTTTCTCGACGTTTTCAAAATTTTTGATTTAGCTGCTTTCGTCTCAAAACTTTTTGATTTAGTTGCTTTCGCTTCAATGTCTGACTGCTTTTTCGAAGTCAGTTTATAAGCATTTATGAGAAACGCTTATTAATTGTTGAACAATAAGCGTTTCGTTGTTAATCTTTGCAGACAAATGGACAAGGGTTATTTTTGTTCTGCTTTTATAAGAGTTATTATACTGATTTGGAAAGGCTTTCTGCAGCTTACTGAGTATTTTTGTATAATGTGATAGGTATTGTTTTTCGCCAGTTTCGTTTTTCCAAACTACCAACAAAGGAAATCATTGAATAGCAAATGTTATGTTCACGAAAACCGTGATAAACTTCTAGTTTCGAAAAAGGATTTTAATGAACAGATATCCCAGTGGAATGACTAATTTAGGCATTGATCCAGTTTTCTCAGTGTGGGTTAATTTAAACAAAAAAGTGGCTTTATTAAATTGCTCTAGAAATTCAAACAGCTTTACGGCCATCTGAGTTTTTCTATGAAGTTCGAGAGTTTTCAACAAACAAGTGATTTTTTGTTTTCTTGCGTTTATTGACTCTTTTCCAACTGTCTGTTGGCAATGTTTTGTATGAAAGTCTAATGATATTTTAGGGAGTTTCCCTTTCATGGACGAGACATGCAGCATTTTTAAGCTATCAAAACCCCATTTATGACATTATCAGCCGCTCTGAAAAAAAATAGAAAACATAATCCAACTAGAATGTAGAAAGCTATGTAAAAAAAGCTAAACGTAAATTTTGAGGTGAAGAAATTCTTTGAAGAGAAATAAATTTCCTCAACACTGAAATTTACGGCTTCGAAAGAGTTTCGACTGTCTAGATAACATGTAATAATCAAAACATAACTCTTACTGCGGTTAACTAATCGTCCAGTCCGAAAAATGATTTTTTGACAGTTTCAATTAATAATTGATACTGAAGAAAGACAAGTTGCTCGTCATGATTTAAACAAATATATAATTTTATCAAATATGTCACAAGAGAGTCAGAAGTTTATCGAAGTTCTTTGAAATTCCGTGATAACCGAGTCAAATGAATTCGCAAGAGTCACACAAAATTAAACATTGGATCTTCGTCTTCGCAAACATTCGATACATCACAAAAAGCAATTGCTGAGTTTTATTGGGATGAAATTGAAAATTCTTTGGTTTGAGGGACAACTGCAAAAGTAATTAATTGTAAAGAAGTAAACATAGAAATTTGAAAAACTTTCGAAAAAGCTTCATTACGAGGCCAAACTGTATTTTGTGAACTGCAATCGGCTTCCGCAACAAGGACGCTCCCTTTGTTGCTCCTTTTGTTCTTCCTTTCTCTTTGACCGCTCCGACTAAATTTTTACAGGTTTAAAGACTTGTCTCTGGAATCCAGAAACATACAGACACGAAATTGTGCACCTATCAAGTGAATAGTTTGGCCTCTTATTGTTTAAATAGATATTTGTATAGCCAGTTGTTGGAAATGGAATTGGAACTTTCTCTAACTGGTAGCAAAAAAGTTTAGTTTTTTGTAGCAACAAGTACAAAACAACCTCCCAGCAATGCTACCGAGTTCTGAGTAACCTAGAAAAAAGTTGCATATCAACTGAAAAATGCAAGAGCTAAAAAAACGAATTTGTTCCTAAAAAAAATTGCTGAAGCAAAAGAAAAGCCGAATCAACAAACAAAGAGAAAAAAGAAATGATTTCAGAAAAACAAACAACAATTTTCAAAATGGTTTATTTTAAACAGACTACTTTTTTACAAACTAAGACTCCATAGAAAGGTAAGAAACCCAACAAAATTTCACAGGATCAAAGACGTGTTTTTTCAAAAAGTAAAGATTCAACTTCCAAAAAACTATCGATTTTGTCTGCTTTTTTTTGTCGGCTTAGTTGCGAAATGTCTTGCGCTGTTACCAGTTTATTATTTGCTTCTGTAATTTAGTAAATCTGATACCTAAAAAGTGTAATAGGCATCAAATGGCTCGGCTTAGGTTTTATCGGCTTAGTGACCTGCAATTTAAATTTTTTTAAAAGTCTTCTGTAGTCTGGAAGTTAACTAATTTTGAGTTTTTGTAATGATGTGCTTATTATCTGCATTTTCAGTGCTGAAATGGTTCCACTTTTCGTAAAATGACTTGGTTATTTCATTTTACGTCAGTTAAAATGTTAAAAATAGTGTTCTGCTTTCTTGTGTTTCACAGAACAGAGCGGAAAATGACGAAATTCAAGATTATAGTAACACAGCTCAAAATTTCCGTGACATCATTTGTTTTCGGCTCAACTGGCTTCTACCCAAGTATTGTTGATTTATTTACCGCTCGGTGAGTAAATTGGAAGGCTGTTATAATGGCAGTGATTTGTTTCCATGGCATACTTTCCGAGCATAAGATCATTCGAGCAAATATATGGACGTTTTTGTAAATAATTTTTTTTCCGATTTTTCAAAAATAAAATTTTTGACTTTCTAAAGAAGCAGAAAGAAAATAGGACAGAAGCAAGACAGACTTATTCAGAGAAAATATTTTTAAAAATTCGCGAAGAAATACATTTATAAAATTTCCATATTTTTTCTCGAATGATCTTCAGTTTGAGGAAAATGTAACAAGAAAAACAATCACTGCCGCTAGAAGAGGCGTTCAAGTTTATTCAAGCATAAACATAAAACAGTTTATTCAAGCTTTTCTCGACGTTTTCAAAATTTTTTGATTTAGCTGCTTTCGTCTCAAAATTTTTTAATTTAGCTGCTTTCGCCCCAATTTCTGACTGCTTTCTTTGAAGTCAGTTTATAAGCATTTATGAAAAACGCTTACAAATTGTTGAACAATAAACGTTTTAATGTTAACCTTTGCAGACAAATGGACAAGGGTTATTTTTGTTCTGCTTTTATAAGAGTTATTATACTGATTAGGAAAGGCTTTCTGCAGCTTACTGAGTATTTTTGTATAATGTGATAGGTATTGTTTTTCGCCAGTTTCGTTTTTCCAAACTAACAACAAAGGAAACTATTGAACAGCAAATGTTATGCTCACGAAAACCGTGATAAACTTCTAGTTTCGAAAAAGGATTTTAATGAACAGATTTCCCAGTGGAATGACTAATTTAGGCATTGATCCAGTTTTCTCAGTGTGGGTTAATTTAAACAAAAAAGTGGCCTTAAACGTTGTGTTTGTTTTTTGTTTTTCTGGAGTTTATTCACGCTTCCAACTGCCTTGACCATATTTACTAAGTTTTGGTAGTGTATTCAGGGCCATTATCAGAATTTTAGAGGACAGTTTTCTCATTTGCAAGGTGTAAATACTTTATCCGTTTCTCGACAGCACATTGGATTCTTGATACGGAAATTCAGATGTTGAATAACGGCTTCAGTGATTGAAACATAAATTAACGTTGAAAATCCAAAATTGCCTGAATTTCAAAAAACGAAAAATTTTACAAGCATGTATTGCCAATCTGTTACAGCCACATGGCTACCTCTAAGAAAGCTGAAAACAAAACAAAACAAACGTCGTATCAAGTCAAAGCCCTTTCAGTCTTGGCTCCGCTTGTAAAAATGAAATCACTCAAGAAAAAGTGTCAAGCGAAATTGGTCTGATCAGTTAAGTTTTTCAGAAAGATTTTCGATAGATATTTTAATTTTTTTACTCACCCTCTAGTATTATCAAACTTAGTTTTTTCGGTTGTCTCCCACGGCATAATTGCATTTTTTGTAGAGTTTTTTTGACTGTTGCTTCCGTTGAACGATAATTGTTTTCGTCAGATATCTTGTTGAATTTTCTCTAGAACCAAGTTTTATTTAGTTCAATGACCATAGGCATCTCAGATTGCCCATGTATGCATAAAATTTTGTCTTTGACTCGCAGCGTGTTGGATCAATTTAGATTTTTTTGTTGAGAGTAAAACTCTTTTGGCCTTTAGATTTATTTTTTAAAAATTTGTGGTTTCAACCAGACTCAACGAGTGGAAAGAAATTATGTATTAGGGTAGTTTTTTTTCAACCATTTCGACTATTTCAAAGGAAGCTTGTAGCTGCTCAAGCGTGGTACAGCATATAGCATTCAAGCCACAATAGACGTGAGTGGGATTAAATTTTTTTTAAAAGTCTCTAAGAGTTGAGAAAAACAAGTCTAAATATTTTGGGTTTTCAGATTAAATTGGACGATTATCAATAATATGCTGGTCCCCCAATTGCAACTTTTTTTGTATCGGCTTCCTACTGAAATTTTCTTCACTTTGTTTAGTTCAATGATCCTTTCTTGAAAAACAAAAATGGAAATTTAGACAAAAATTGTCAAATTACAAATTTTAACATCAGTTTGGATGGACAAACTATTCTTGAAAGCAAGGTGTTACCTTTTTATTTATGATGAACAGTCAGCTAATGAAAAATTTAAGAAACTCTAGAATTTTTTCCCGGACATTTTTAACTGATCCACAAAATATGGTTCTTTTCTCATCGGCTACAACTTTTTTGTGAAGTTTATTTCACCACTCAAAGATTTTGACTTAAATTTTATCAGTTTATAATTCTCAAGTTTTGTAGAACAAAAGGTTATGTGTAATTTCATTCCTTATCTTATCCTCAGCTGCACGTTTTTTCTAAAATGAAACAATCAGCAATTGGTTTTCTGTAAAAAAGTTTATTCAAAATGCCAATTAGGCTTAATTAAACATAAGCATGAAATTCTAGCTCTTTTTGCAAAATCAGTTCCCCAAAGTGTTTTTCGTTTCGACTTTCGAAAAAAGCGAAATATTTGAGCTCGGCATGTTTTTTATTCAGTCAGTTTTCAACTTTTTAGCCACGATGATCCGAACAATTTTTGCTAATTTTTATTCTGAGTAAATAGTTATTCTGCTTTGCTTCAATCTGATTGGTTAGAATTAGCCAATCAAAATTTAGTATCATCTCAAAATGTTTTGCTCACATTTCAAAGTCGACTTAATAATAAGCCGAATTAATCAACAATGAAAAATGTTTCGTAAAATTTTCAGATTTATTTAAAGTATGCTGCAAATTTCTACTCAAATCATAAAAAAACACGGAAAATGGCTCTAGAAAATGATCACCTTCACCTCATCTTGAAATTCGATCTGGTCAGAAGTGGAAAAAACAATAAATTGATTTCATTTGTATTAAACAAACCAACCAGTGTTATGGTGTTATCAGTGTGTTGTTCTGTGCATTTATACAATGAAATTTACAAAATCTCAAAAATCTGAATTTGGGGCAGAATAACTAAAAGACCCTTTACTCCTTCACACTCATTCTTACCTACGAACTTGAAGCTTCATTCAATCCATCATTGCTACCCTTGTCATCATAATAGAAACTTTGCAGAAAAATTATGAACTTTTTCAAAAATCATTGTTCGTCAACATTTTATCTAAAATCGCTGACTTTTTCGCCTGGTTTCAATATTTGAGAAAATTAACAAGAAGGTTGGCCAGATCTTTTTTGCTATGCGGCCCAAAAATTATCCAAACGTTGAATGAGCTATTATGTTTACAATTCAGTTTCAGTTGTCCTTCGCATTTCTTGACTTTATTCAACCAGAACCAAGCATTATGAAAAATTATGCTCCATTTTCAGTGTCGCAATACGATGAATTTTGGGCTCTAACCGGTTGTGCTAACACGATCATCTCCATGTTTTTTTTTGAAATTATTCAATTGTGCTAATTGCGTGAAGTGTTTTTTTTGCCAATTCTTTTGAGCTATAATAAGGAGACACGGCATCCTAGTGATTGATTTTTGAGCTATAATAATTAGAATTTTACGCGATGTGCAAATGAAATAGAAAAAAAACGGTGGCTAGTTAAAACTACAAAAAATGTGTCACAAAAAACTTCAAAAGGTACGCTGAAAGCTTCGAAGACTTTAATGTGATTTTATATAGATGGCTAAAACCTAAAACTGAAATTCAGCCACCGAAACACTGACAGGAACTTCCATATTGTAGGTCAATTATTTTCTAAAGACTTTTGTTTTGGAAAGTCTGAATAGATAGTTTGACAAAAAAAGCTATGGGAATAGCCTATTGACAGCTTGAATAGAATAAAGAACGCAAGGAAACTGAAAAAAAAAATGTTTTTTTTTTTTCGAAAACCCTCAATTTTTGAAAGTCGAAGAAAAAGATAGACGGCCTTAAAGCGCTTAGAATTTGTAAAAAATTTTATGATGGAGACTTTTTTGTTAAAATTAACCAAATTTTAGAAAACTGGATCAATAGATAAACTTTTACTTCGCTGGGAAATCTGATATGTAATTTACATTTTCGAAATTGGAAGTCGATTACGCTTATTGTGACCTTAACCCTTTTGCTGTTCGATAATAGAGTTTGCCCTCGTTTTAACAATGGGAGTGCACTGAACTTTAAAAAAAATCACAAATCAAAACACGAAAAACACAATTGAGCGTGAACTATTTTTACGACTTTTTCTTGAAATATAAACAAAAACAAATCACCAAGACCTAAACTTGTGGACAAGTGTAAGTGCAAATTCATTTTTTTCTAAAATACTTCTTTTCAATGTCCATTTTTGATAACATTCACTTAAATTTTTTGCGAAATTTTTACATACACCAAGAGCAAATGATCAAACCTGCCGTATATGAAACTATCAAAATTTGTTTTCAAAGACTTACCAATGTAATCCGGGTCTGAAAAAGCCAGTTTTCCTCATCTGCACGAAATTTTTCACTTTGCGTGAAGTAAAAAACAGCCGAGTTTAGAAAAGTTTTGACATTGATTTATTTCAATTTTCTCGCACAGAATGTTTCACGTCGCATGAACAATTTTTTACTCATCTTATTCAAGAAAGAATTCGCTCCGATGCTTAACTTCGCAGATGAGGAAAACTGGCTATTTCAGACCCGGATTACATTGGTAAATTAAAATCAATTTTTGATAGTTTCACAGAGGGTAGGTTTGATCATTTGCTCTTGGTCTATCTAAAAAAATTGCTAAAAATTGAAGTGAATGTTGTCCAATATGGACACTGAAATCAGGCATTTAAGAGAGAAAATTCCTGAATTTGCGCTTAATTTTGTACACTAGTGGATAGAAAAGAACCCACTACATTCATTACTCTTAATAACTGCACCAACGATACCAGGATAAGTCCTTCCCTCTTGCAAAAATTTTCTTTAAAATTACAATCAATGTCTTGCAGATAGAGTATCTTTGATAGAAATAAGTGCGATATAATGGAACATCATTCGGACATTTAGAAAAGAGTTATTAAAAACCACACATGGTGTAGAGTTTTGGCCTACGGTAATTTTTACTACAACTAGATTCCATATTGGGTCGACTGTCGCTAATTGAATTTTATTGGAATCGTGATTTGAATTCCATAAACCTGTTTCAGCGTCCGTCTAGGAAAACTGGTCTGAATATATCTGATTTCAGACCAATTTATTGAAGAGAAATTGAGAACCTGATTAAGAGACACTTTTTTCGCTGGGCTGTCTGCTTCTTAAGGTCCTTCTTAGGGTCCTAATAATACCTACCTCATGACAATTATATGAGAATATGTGTTGTCAATTAAAAATAAGTTTGCGATGCTAAACTAGTGAAATCAGTTCAATTCTTTTTTTTATCATTTTTTCTTAGCTCGTACAGTTCGTTTGGCTCTTGGGGAGAACATGGCGTTGGTGTTTGGCACAGAAGGTTGGAATTGACCCCTGACCTCTTCTCTTCTGGTGTTGCCCGCAAACTGCAGCACTTCTTCCAAATCTTCCTTGCGATCTGGATCTGTCAATTTATCTTCCATCTGAACAATTTAACTATAAATCTTCATTAAATTAGTTTAAATAACGGCCCGTGGGAAACAAAAGTTGCAAGGCCGGGTATGCTCCGGCCCGGCCCACTTTAAATGAAATACGAATTTCCTAACAAAAAGTAATTTAAAATACAAATGTGAATTTGAAAAAAAAATCAAAATTTCTTAATTGCATTGGCCGCAGCCGATTCTAGCAGTTCATTTTGGCTGACTTTTGGCTGACTTTGGCTGACGTTTATGTTTTAACGAGTGAAAGGAGCGAACTCCTTAAAAAGTAAGGCCCGAGCCCGGCCCGACCCGATTGCTGATCCTAAAAGTTTCAACTCTGTTTATAAAGATGCTGGTTAGAAAGAAATCAGACAACAATATATCCGTGTATGTTGTGTTATTGTTTTTCACGACACAGGTTTGGTCTCGATTTATCAGAAAACATAGAAAATTTTGTATTCGAGATTACACCAAAACATGTAACTGAACCTGTGCTAATTTGTTTTTGAAGTGATCCACAAAAGAGAGTTGGGTCACAAATGCACTGGCTATTCTGTCTTCAAACGGGTCTGAAACATAAAATTATTTTAATCATAATAATATATCAAATTGTTTCCAAACGATATCTAATTAGAAAGTTATTTATAAAAAAATATAAATACGAACTAAAATCATTTGGGAGAACACCATTAAGCCAAAACGGCCCGTTTTCAGGTGTTTCATTAAGCGGAGAATAAGAAAAAGTAGTTAAATTCCTCGATCCAATGCAATGGTCCTTCTACCGCTAATTATTTATTAAACGTAAAAACGCACCTTTAAACCATTCTCTATATTAAAAAAAATATATATTTTTTTTGTTTTCTCGGGTAGTCTTTTTTAACCATGAGCTAGAAACCAACAGAAACAAGTTATACTTTTGGATCAATAAAATGTCTCAAAGCATGCCCAGTAAAACCGTATTTCCTAGAATGTAATTCTCCAAAAAATTATGATTAAAACTACTTCATTGAAACCGAGAAGCCCCATTCAAAAAATTGACTCAGCCAAAAAAAAAATATATGACAATGTTAAACATTTTTCTAATTTTAGGTGTAATCGACCCTCTGTTGAGTTTATTACGATTTATAATTAATTTTCGATTTGTTTTTCTCTTCGAAACTATCATGTTTAACTCTTGTGCAGTAATGGAATATCTCAAGGTATCAACTTGGCATACTTTTCGAATAATTTTTCGGGTTAATTTCAGAACTTCTTTCGCAAAAAATTCTCTTACGGTATATATTTTCTTTTCATGCATCATTTCAGTGATTGAATCCATCCTGTGTTTATAAAAATTATTTTGATTAGCCTTCTGATATTCATTTCCAGTTCTAACAGTTTGGTTTTGTCGGTATTTGCATAAACTAAAACTGCATATTGGATGATTGATTGCACATAAGTTTTAAATGCAAATATTAATTGCCGTTCAGTTAGAAACTTTCTGAATTGAAAAAACACTCCACAGAATTGCAAAATTTTGTTTTTTTACGTTATCAAAATGCTGATGAAAATTCAATTTACAGTCAAAATGAATTCCAAGATATTTAAGATATTCTACATCTTTTATTTGCGTGTCATTTAAAAAATATTTGACTGGTCTTTTCTCAGTTTCTTTGCTCCGACAGTATCTCATGGTCTTGATTTGTTGACATTCAATGTCATTTTGTTCTTGTCTGACCAATCATTTACTTCAAGCAAAGCCGATTGATGTGCAAAAGCAATATAGTCTTTGTTGTTTGTGGACTTCAGAACAGTGTCATCAGCATAAAAAAGTGTCCCTGTGTTTTTTGTTGCTATTTGGAGATCGTTTATGTAGAGTATGAATAAAAGTGCGCCAAGGATAGATCCGTGAGGTACACCAAAAGATACCAGTTTCAGTTCGGTCTTAAAAGAATTAGTTTCGATGTACTGATAGCGATTGTCAAGGTAAGATTCCAAGAGATTTAAGGCAGGCACTCTGAATCCCATATGTTCCAATTTCACTAACAGATTAGAGTTTACGTTGAAATCACCACAAAGTTCACGTTGAATTTACCGCTAACTATGTGTTCAGTTTCAGTCCCTAGCGTTAACCCACCCAATTATTTTTGCAGGCTTTCGAAGGTATCGTTGTTTAGAGAATTTGGTGGAATCTAAACAAAGGTTACTACAATTTGCTGATTTATATGGGTTTTTATGAGAACTGACAAGATATGGATATTGTTATCTTTTTTTTTGTTTTATTATCCTATGGTCTGACCCAGTGTTAACATAATGCCAATACCTCCTCCTCGTAATTCCAGCGCAACTATAGAGAGGTTCGTATCCTTGAATTTGGAAAATATCTGTGTCAAAGTTATTTTATAGCCAGGTTTCAGTTAAACATATGATATGTGGACGTTGGGCCAACTGCTCTACTTCCAATTCAAATTCTTCAAAGTTTCGGGGCAGTGATCTGATGTTTTGTAAAAATAGTGAAAAAGTTTTAGAATCTGTTTCCTCCATGTCTCTGTTAACCATATGTTCTGCGTACCATATAGTTCTCGCGTGGTTTCTTAACTAGTTGAAAATTTAATCAATCTATGAAGATTTGGCTTTTTTCTAATTAATGTTTTCTAACTACGAAAAAACTGTGTTATTTTGAAAGATGCGGAAATCGCCACTATGAGTTGTCAGAAATCAGAAACCACCCAGGGCTGTGCGGAAATCGCACAAAATCTAGGTAGTTTCTCCTCTTACTCTAAAATAATATTTTTCTTCGCAATAATACGAATATTGCTAGCTTTCAATTTTGATTCCCGTATACGATTCTTTCATTTTAGTGGGGCGGGCTTTACTTAATAACTCTTCCCTCTCGAATAAGAGTAGTTCGTTACAAATAGGATCGTTAAAAAGAACTCGCAGGAAAACAGGACACAAGAAAAGACAACCTGGCTTAGAATTCGAATCAGAATTGCCCTTAAAAATTATTTCTCTTTTCAAACTGACCTCTGATTGCGATTCGGATGTGTTTGTAGTTGGCGTCCTGGAGCACTCTGGGACGCACTTGCCCCGTTACCACGTCAATCTCGAGCGCCTGGAAGTCGAACGGCTGATAGTAGACGAAGAACCCAACCAGCAACTTCCCAATGCCACTGTCGTTCTGACTCTTCACCTTGTACGATAGAAACCATCTTTTTCAAAATTTATTACTAATCATTGTTAAAGTTTTTCAAAAAAGGCACAATACTACATGATTCAGTCCCATTTGGTGAACTATGTTCGCTAGAAACTTCTTCAAAAAGTTTGCTTGCAAAAGATAAATAAAACTTTAGGCGGATAGATAATAAAGTCCACTTTTTAATATCACACCTCCTCGAAAATCTTAGATACGAACAGGCGCGGATTGAGGATTATTATTATTTTTTTCGAGAGAGAGAGAGAGAGAGAGAGAGGACGCGGGGGTTTCAATTTATATTGATCAAACTGACTTCCCCAGCTCTCGCAAAACACTGTTTCGAGAAAGCAGTCTGCGAGGCGACGAAATTTTCAAAAAAAAACAGACCAAAAAACGACGTTCTTCGAGCTCGCTATAGGGTACGAGCAGGGGCAGATTTAAGGGGGGCGCCTCTTTCTCATGGATTCGACCCCCTGCCGACCCTTTGGTACTTTTTAAGAAGTCCAGTTTTGGCCAACCGACCCTAACATTTTTCTAAAGACGCCTTCGGCACCAATATATAATAACTTTGAGAGGGAGCGCGCGCCAAAAAAACGCATTTTTTTCAAAATTTTCCAAAAAGTGCTCAAAAACGGCATATTTGACCTTTTTTCAAAAATTTGCCTGTGGCGCAGAAAATTTGACCAAAACAGCGTCTTGTTAAGGCTTTAGAAGAGCTCGGAAAATCAATTTGGTCGACCTAAAAAAAGTTCGTCAAAATTTTCGAAAATTTTTAATCCGCCCTCCCCCTCGAGAAAAACCTAGATCCGCCCTTGGGAACGAGCATATTCCGATTAAAAATTCCTGAAAGTCGAATTTACAATTTACAGTAACACTTCAACGTATCGCCTATTGTCGTTATAAAAATAAAAATTCAGATCACAGTAGCAACCAAGCCCCATCCACTGGAATAAGTAGTTTTTCACCCCACTTTTGCAGTATTGATCTCTGTTATGAAGTTAAGTCTGAGTTCAGCTTTTTTGGTTTTCTTAGAGATGCGTGTAGAATACTCGGTAAGTCAATAAGGTCCAAAATCACAGTATAGAACCATTTAAACATTCTCCCCCTAACCGAATTTGGGCGTAGGCGAGGGGTGTGTGGGGTATAGTGGTGCAGGTTTGAAAGGGTGAACCTAAAACCTTTTATTTCAAAAATTTTTGTTTACCTTTAGCCGCTTATGGGTCTGAAGTTCTTTCCACGTCTTGATGTTTTTCAAGTCTTTCTGGAACAATTTGGCCGCCGATTTTTGTAGACTCGGGAGAACTAAGTTTAAACTTGATTGACTTACCAAAATAGCAAGGAAGAACTTGAAATCGTTCTTTTTCTACCAGTGATTGCTTAGAATATTGATTTGACATTTGATTTTTTTTCAATTGAAATGGTTTTCCAAAATGTTTGACTGAACAAAAATTGCATTTAACCGCAACAATACAAATCTAGCAAATTGTATATGACCGTACTTTAAGGTGCCTATTTCTCTCACAATTAATATGATCAAATCTAATGATTCAGAAAGAGAGAAAAAATGTGCACCTGGTGTGATGTGTCCGGCCTGAAGGTAGAAGATAGTCATGAGAGTGATGAGGTACCCGGACAGTTTACCCTCCTGGGGATCCAGAAGGCCCTCGTTGTATGCCCATTGCTTGATTGGCAGCAAAATGAACAGCAGTCGATTATCAACTGCAAACACAGAATGCTTCTCATTTTTAGTCTTTTATGAGTTTTGGTTTAGTCAGACCCAATTGGGCAGCCATGAAGTGTATAAAATAACATCTGTTGAGTTCATCTGTTAGAAAAAAAAACATTCTTGCGCCGGTGTTATTTTTTCAATATTCCCAACTCAATATTCCCAATACTTTTACGCCGGTTTTTTTCTTCAAAGCAAAATGATTCTTACTAAAACAATCAACCCCGCTAGACGTCGATTAGTTGACTTAAAATGGTATCTTCTTTAAAATTTAAACAAAAATCAACAAACTTACTTTGGTGGTAGCAGTGAATAAGGTGTGAATGGAACACTGAAGACACGTCATTGATTGACAGGTGCACCCGGAAGCCACTGTAACACATGTGGATATTTTGCTCCTATCAAATCGCAATTTTTGAAATGGTTTTGTTTGGCTTGACTCAAACTGTAGCTTCAAATAGTTTTGTGATCAATTCAGTTTTCAAAGAGCATTTATCTAAGAAGAAAAAAACCGCCGTCTTAAACGAGTCATTTGGCCCTTGAGAGCCACTGCTGTTCCACTGATTGAGATCCAGTTCTTTTGCTTACTTTGGGGCGGAAAATTGATCAGTTAAAGATCTGAAACGTCTTTCAACGACCTTCGTATGTGTTTGCGTGTGTCTTACCACAGGTATGTCCTGTAGTGGAACCCTATGGTCACATGCTCCTCGCTGATGTCTGTCTCTTCCGCCATTATCTGCGATATGCAACCTGTAAAAAACCACAACTCTCAATTTAAATTGTATACTTTTATCCTTATTACTTCAAAAATCCAATTGATACCCCTAGTAGCGTGCCAAGGGAAAGGGGGCGGGGGCGACTGCCTCCCTCCCTCTCAATTCTGGTTGCCAAATTTTTCCAAAGAGTCCCCCCCTCCTTCGGTATAATTTTCGACATCCATTTTTGAGTGACCAACCGCAAAATTTTTCTAAAGGCGCCTTGTGCGCCAATATAACTAGTTTTGAGGGGGGAGCGCGCGCCGAAAAAAAACGCATTTTTTGACAAAATTTTCCAAAAAGTGCCCAAAAACGGCACTTAGCATAGCGGTAAGGCGTTCACTTCGATATCGTCAGATAATCGATCCCCTGCCATGACAATGATAGTGTGCGAGGACGAGCTCTCACTTGACCTCTAGCTTCAGGTCTACCATAGCCAAACCGATGACGGCTGCAATAATGGTACCGCCTGAAAGTTCTAGACGCAAAAAAATGGCCGTGAGTCGCCAAAAAAGAGCTTTGCTCAGCTACAAAAAAAATCAGTCTGTAATGTGGGGAAATAACAGAAACAGACTATGCTTAGACAGGCTGGATAGCCTTTCAAAGATCCTCTGCGAATAGCAATTATAGCTAGGGGGTATCTTTTGCCCTTTAGAAGTAATAAGGATAACGTATTTCAAAAAATATAAGTATGTTGCTTTTCATGACTAAACCTGCCGTTTTGAATAAAAGTGCTCCAACGTGCTGATTTCAACCAAAAATTGGTCAGTCTGCCCGCTTTATATGAACCATACTGATTTCCGAAAAAGAAAAATTTTGTCATACAGACTAGTGTGTTAAAATAATGATGGGCTCTTTTTCATTTCCTCCCCCTCCTGCGAACTTTTAAGTCAAATTTTTGTTCGCATTTTTTGATTGGTAAAAAATTGGCATGCGGACAAATTACGCCATGGGGGGTGTTAGAAAAATGGACTTGATGGTGTTTTATTACATTGCCGAATCTGATGTTAAACGTATATGAATGATCGCTGAAATTTTGCAGAGAGGCGCAATTGTGTTAATTGACAAAGAAAGTTTTCTCGAATGTAACTTTTTTAAAAGTCAATTTTGGAAAGTTGACCCTCTCTTAAATACTAAGAACCTCACATATAGTTGGAACTGCAGAATACGGGTGGAAAAGAATGCACATCTAAAAGAATGCACATCTACGATAATGTTCATCTAAAAGTATGCTACTTAACAACATAAGTTGAGCTTATATCGCGTCGATCAAATCGCCCATCAATCAGAAGCTTTCGAACCTTGATTAGCGAGTACTTGTGCGGCTAAAGTGAGATCTTTGGCTTCCAGGGATGTCTGGTTGTGTGTGAGGATTGTGAGGTCCACATCTGTCCAGTCGAAGGCCAGTTGGGAGGACGAGGAGCCAACCAGTACAACATCTACCTCTACAATATTTGAATGTCAATACAATGTGTATATTTTGTAGCAGAATATGCATTCTACTCAAGATAGAAGAACAAAAAGCAAAACAGTTAGAACAGAAAAAACAGTATTTTTTTTACCAGTTTTACCACTTTAATTAGGACCCATAGAAATCAAAACGGGTTCATAGCCAAACTTCATTTCAGCGCAATAATTTTGTGCAAATTTAATGTTTTTGATCGCTTGAAGGGTTGAATTGTCAAAAACTTTGATTCAATTTCTGCAGCTCGAAACGTCGGTCATGAAATTAGTTTCCTCTGTTATGTTGTTCACAGAGAGATGCTTTCACATATGAGTGTAGTCATACTTTCGAAGTGATCCGTGAACTCCCTCTTGATTGCAGCTGCCACTCCCTGTTTCATGGCCGTCATGGGACTACTCTGTCTGTAGGTCATGACCAGGTCTTTCAACTCGTTCGTCATCTAACACGCAAACCAACAAAACATAAGACTGCTTTTCGATCCATATAATTTGAACCATTCATTAAGGGAGGAAAAGGCGGCTTATCCATAAGAACATACGTTCCTTGCTTGGTTCCATGACAATCTACCCAATGCTAATTCATCCAATGCCATTATAAATTTTACTAATCTACCCTATATTCCAATCTAACCTGTGCCAATTTACCCTATGTTCTGTAAAAATTCATTCGTATGCCCATGTGATTTGTCTGGTGAGTGATTTAGTTCAAGTAATTTGTCTTTCAGTTCTTCAAAACTGCCCGGGAGTCGGAACACTTTCAGTGCTTGACTTTTCTGCTCCTCGTTTTTCATTAAAAACTAGCTATAATAATATAAAGTCCGTCTTTTTCTCACCTGGTCGAAGTCTCTGTCTGATCCGTACATAGCCTTCACCCGCCAGTTGACAGCAAGTGCCCCCTTCATCCCCTTCTTCCCCTTCCCTTTCTTGCCTTTCTTTCCCCCTTTAGCACCCTTCTTACCTGAAATATTACAATCACGCAACTGTTGCCGGTGCCAAAGAGAACACGTTCACATGTCTTAATCACTGCATCACTGCATTATTTCTGGAACAAAATCAGACACCAAACTTTTTCAACAATTTAATTTTTTGGTCGGCTACTGAAAAATAAAGAGTACAAAAAGTAAAAACTTTGTTCTCATCGAGAGCTGAAGATGAAACTTATTCATAAAAACTTCAAGAATTTCAGACTCTCTTCTTGTATGCCATTCTTTTTCTGCCTTTGTACTTGAACCTATAATGTCAGTTTCATGGTTCAATTGTGTCCTCTATCAAGTTTTACCATATTTTAGACGAAGGTCAAACTTGTGCGAAATTTGGTAAGTAGTCCTCCAACTTCATCGTTGGGTCTACTATTAGAGAGTCTCAAATTCTTTTAAATTCATTTCATCTACACTTCTCGATTAGAACTATACAGCCTCTATACATTTTCGTTGACCTAACTAATATTTTTCATCAGACGAGATTTAAAATTTCCGAGAGAAAAGTCAGTATTGTTGGATTTGAGCGGAAGATTAAAAACTAAAAGCAACGATTAAATGGGGGATAACGGGCGTTAAAAGAGTAAAAATGAAAGCTAGAAAACAAGATCTTGCATTTAACTCACCTTTTCCTGCTTTTTTCTTCCCATCTGAATTCTTCTTCCCATCTTTTTTGCCTTTGCCCCCCATCATGGACAAATTTGACCAAATGTCAGTTTCAGACAGTTAAATTTGAAGGGCAATTTATTTAACAGAGCAAAATTTTGAACAAAAAACTATCATGCCAGTCACGAATATTTTGTGTAGCAGCGCATGCAGTATATATCTGTTATGTTTTTAAGTTTTAAATCATGTAGCAAAAAGAGAGTAATATTTAGTAAAAAATGAATGCCTTTAGAAGAAAGAATTGCTTTCATGATAAAGTCAACTGCTCTTAATTATTCAGAACAGCCATAAAATTACAGATCGATTAAAACCTGTAAATTTTTTATTTCGAATCTAGTGTTTTGTAAAACTGGCTGAAATGTCTCAGGCTGAATTATCTGTATATTTTTGGCTGAATTAACTGTATATTTTTGGCTGAATTGTCTGAATTTCAAATTGGCTGAATTGTCTTTGACCTAATTGTCTGTGCGCCATACGGACAAATTACTCCATGGAAGGTTAGGAAAGTGGACCTGGTGGTGTTGAATTCCGTTGCCGAATCTGATGTTAAACTTATATGAATGATCTCTGAGTGTTTCGTAGAGAGGCGCAACTAGATAACTGACAAATAAAATTTTCTCGGAAGTAACTTTTTTAAAATTCAATTTTGAAAAGTGACCCTCTCATAAATATTAAGAACCTCATATACATATAGTTGGAACTGCTGAATACGGGTGGCAAAGAATGCACTCTAGTAAAATTGAAGGAAATTGATCATAAAAACTGAGGCAATGTTCGTGAAATAGGATAGTAACCGAATTTGGAAGTAAAAGCCGGCCAAATCAAGGAAAACTTCCATATACGATAACTTTCACCTAAAAGCGTGCTACTTAACAACATAAATTGAGCTTATATAGCGCCGATCAAATCGCCCATCAACCAGAGTTTTTCGAACCTTTATTAGCGACTACTTGTGCGGCTAAAGTGCGGTCTTTGGCTTCCAGTAATGTCTGGTTGTGTGTGAGGATGGTAAGGTCCACATCTGTCCAGTCGAAGGCCAATTGGGAGGATGAGGAGCCAACTAAAACAACAATCATCTCTATATCGTTTGAATATCAATACAATGTGTATATTTGAGGCAGAACATGCGTTCTACTCAAGATAGAAGAACAAAAACAAAACAGTAAGAACAAAAAAAACAGTATGAAAAAAGTACCGAGCCTTTTTCTTTTACCAGTTTCGCCACTTTTACCACTTCAAAAATCTGTGGGCTAATAACCAAAATTCTGCTACTTCAAACAAAAATTTTATGAAAATTAATGAAAGGTTTTCTCGGGAATTTAATGACAATTTTAGAACTTTTACACAAATTTATTTTTACGCAATGTTTTTGTGCAAATTTAATGTTTTTGATCAGTTGAAGGGTTGAATGGTCAAACATTTTGATTCAAATTCTGCTCATGTGCTTGAATCATAAATTTACACAAATTTATTTTTACGCAATGTTTCTGTGCAAATTTAATGTTTTTGATCAGTTGAAGGGTTGAATGGTCAAACATTTTGATTCAAATTCTTCTCACGATACTCGAAACTTCGCTCAGGATAAAAGTTTCCTCTGTCATGCTGTTCACAGAGAGATGCCTTCACATATGAGTGTAGTCATTACTTTCGAAGTGATCCTTGAACTCCCTCTTGATTGCAGCTGCCACTCTCTGTTTCATGTCCGTCATGGGACTACTCTGATTGTAGGTCATGACCAGGTCCATCAACTCTTTCGTCGTCTAACACACAATCCAACAAAACATAAGACTGATTTTCGATCTATATAATTTAAACCATTCATTAAGGGAAGAAAAGTATGCGAGCTGTGAAATTATTCGAAACCTTAAAGGCGGCTGAACCATAAAAACATAAGTTGGTTGCTTGGTACCATAACAATCTTCCCAATGCCAATTTACCCAATGCCATTCTACCCAGAGGCGGGCGGATCTAGGATTTTCTCGATGGGGGGGGGGCGGGTTTTTAAAAAAAAAATCGAATTTTTTGTCGACCCTTTTTTTAGATCGACCAAATTGATTTTCTGAGTTCTGATTTTCGGCACGCGCTCCTCGCTCAAGATTGGTATCTATTGGCACCAAAGGCGCCTTTAGAAAAAAATAAGAGTCAGTCAGCCAAAATTGGACATCTCAAAATAGTACAAAGGGGGACCCTTTGGGTCGGCATGGGGTCGAATCCCTGAGTCAATTAAGTGATTTGCTTCAAGTACTTTGTCTGTGAATGCTTCAAAACTGCCCGGCAGTCAGAACACTTTCGGTGCTTGACTTTTCTGCTCCTCGTTTTTCATTAAAAACTAGCTACTGTATAAAAAAAGTCCGTTTTTTTTTCTCACCTGTTTGAAGTGAGAAACTGATCCGTGTACATAGCCTTCACCCGCCAGTTGACAGCACGTGCCCCCTTCTTCCCCTTCTTCCCCTTACATTTCTTGCCTTTCTTTTCCCCTTTAGCAATATTTTTACATGAAATATTACAATCACCCAACTGTTGCCGGTACCAAAGAGAACGCGTTGACAAGTCTTAATTATTTGTTTACATCACTGCATTATTTCTGAGATAAAATCAGATACCAAATTTTTTCACAATTTAATTTTTTCTCTGGGAATTTTTACTGGGCTACTAAAAAATAAGGAGAACAAAAAGTAAAAATTTTGTTCTGATCGAGAGCTGAAGGTGAAGTTTATTCAAGAGAACTTCAATCTCTTCTTGTATGCCTTTCTTTTTCTCCCTTCGAACTTGAACCTTCCCTTTTATCAACTATAATGTCAATTTTATGGTTTTTTTGTGTCCCCTATCAAGTTTTACAAAGTTTTAGACTAAAGTGAAATTTGTGTGAAATTTGGTAGGCAGCCCACCTACTTCATCGTTGGGCATAAGAGTAGAGAGTCCTAAATTCTTTTAAAATCATTTCATCTACACTTCTCAATTAGAACTATACAGCCTCTATACACTTTTTTTGACCTAATATTTTTCATCAGACGAGATTTAAAAAATCCGAGAGAAAAGTCAAAATCTTTGGATTTGAGCGAAAGCTTGAAAACTAAAAGCAACGATTAAATGGGGAATGACGGGCGTAACGAGAGTAAAAATGAACACGAGAAAACAAGATCTTGCATTTAATTCACCTTTTCCTGCTTTTTTCTTCCCATCTGAATTCTTCTTACCATCTTTTTTGCCTTTGCCCTCGATCTTGGACAATTTGACCAAATGTCAGTTTCAGACAGTTAAATTTGAAGAGCAATATATTTGACAGAGCAAAATTTTGAACAAAAAACTATCATCACAGTCACGAATAATTTGTGTAGCAGCGCATGCAGTATATATCTGTTATGTTTTTAAGTTTTAAATCATGTAGCAAAAAGAGAGTAATATGTTGTAAAATTTGAATGCCTTCAGAAGAAAGATATGCTTTCATGATAAAGTCAACTGCTCTTAATTATTCAGAACAGACATAAAAGTACAGACCGATTAATTCCTGTAAAATTTCTCGTGCCAAAAAAAATTCGCGACCAGCCAGGTCAACCAAATTTTACGTCAACCAAATTGATCATCCGAGCTCTCCTGAAGCTCTAAAAATACCCTGTTTTGGCGAAATTTTCTGTGCCGCAGGCGAAACTTTGAAACAACAGTCCAAAAAAGTGTTTTTAAGGCAAATTTTGGAAAAATTCTCCCCGCTCAAACTTAGTTTATATCGGCGCCGAAGACACCTTTAGAAAATTTTAGGGTCCGTCAGCCAAAAATGGATATATCAAAATAGTACAAAGGGGAGACCCTTTAGGCAGGCAGGGGGTCGAATCCCTGAAAAGGGTGTCCCCCCCCCCCCCCCCCCGCCTCTTCCCTAAATCCGCTGAAGCGTTCAGCCATTCAATAAGGCTTGGACGTTAAGGTCACCATTTACCGCTTTGAAAAAATGCCCGAAGCGCCAATATCCATTTCTTTGAATTTCTGAACTAAGTTGTAAATTAGGATGTGGTTCTGATATGTATATCTAAGTTTTTGCTGCGTGTTTGGCTGTAGATTTAGGGGATTGCTTCTCTAGGTTCCTTCTCTCTCTCTCTCTCTTAACGACAACGCAAAATGGTCCCATGGGTAGTGATTTCAGCGGGGTGACCGAGTACTATCTACAATACCGAGAGGGTTAAGCTGGTGGTAGATATTCTGTATTGTATTATGTTGCTTGCCACTTCTTGTGTACTGCTCTTCAGGCTGTCTCGTCTATTGGATACAGTCGCAAGAGTTTTCAATTGTAATTTAGTTCAGATGAATTTACGTCCAACTACAGACAGAAGGCTCTGAGAGAAGGCCAGAACATAATCTAATAATCAAATCAAACGGAAAAATGTCCGCGATTTATCAGCACAAATGATTGATTGGAAGTTAACATCCACTAATTCGACTAAACCAATCTCTCTTTATAGAGAAACCGTTTTTGTCAACACATAATAATTCTACGCAAATTGTCAGTTAGACCTGCTGAAACTATTAGTGTCTCAACGGATCACTCTTCCTTTGAGGCTTTTTAACAAATCTCGTTAGCTTCAAGAATCACAACTATCTTCTGTTTCTGCTAAAATTGTTCTCCTACTCCGAGAACCAACTATTCGATTCAGTGGCAATAACTGTTCTCTCTCACTTAAACTGAGAACCAACTATACTCTTTCTCGGTATCAATTGCTCTGAATCTCGAAGGTTCTCGGGTATCCTTCAGTTCCTTATCTTTTTTACATAATATTAGCTAAGTCGCACCATTCCCTGTCAGTACTGGCATCGGCTTAAATCACCCGTGGGCACAACATTTATGACTACATCCCTCCCCCTGTCAACACTGCCACGTGCCAAGCTCGGTTTCTTTTATCAAAGTTTTCACGCTTGTTAGATACTCGGTATGCGGTAGGTGTCACAATTCGAACAAGCAAACAAATTTTATACCATTTTAATCAACTACTTCTTGACCTGCGTGAACTTCAGCCCTCGAGTTCAACTCAACCTCCAAACCATGCTATGTTTACTCAGTGACCATCCCAAGGTCTTTATTTTAATTATCCCGTTAAGGCTCCGACCTCCCAAAGGTAGGGGAAGGACCCTTTTCATGGGTGGCAAAATCAATCCAAGCATCTAAAATTTCTATCTGTACTCTTCTGCAATGTCAATATTCTAGCTATCAGGGGTAAGTAGTTTGTGTCATAGG